CGGCTTTGCTCCCCCGGCGGGAGATGGTGAACTGGTTGGGGTCCTTGCCGTCCTTGCGCAGCATGTCGGGGAGCAGCCGCCGCCGGGCGTTGATGAACCAGTTGCAGATCTGTGAGGAGAGAGGGGCCCGCTGGGGTCAGCCGGGGGCTGCAGTCCCGGGACAAAGCAGCAGCGGCTCCCCCAGATCCGACAGCAGCACCCCCAGTGCAGGCCAGCAGCTCCCACACACCCCGGACCGCCTCAGGTCTCCCCTCAGCCCTGCACCTCCTTCCCGTGAGGCTCCAGAGAGGCACAACTAGCGCTGGAACCCACGGAAACCCCAACACCGGCTGCTTCCTGCCTGGCACCGCCTGCCCGGGGCTGCCCTTCCTCCCCGCAGCGCTCCCGGCTGCCCCGGCCCTGCCGGGCCCTGGGCAGGACCGTGCCCTCAGCTCCGCTCCCAGCACAGCAGCGGGCACAGCCCTGGGCCCGAGCCAGCCCCCAGCACAGCAGCACTGCCCGGAGCCCCAGGAGCTGCTGTGCTGCCCCTGAGCAGAGCTGGCTCCCAAGGAAAAGGGGGCTCAGCGCTGTGCCCCCACTGCAGCCCCGAGGTCCCAGCTGCAGTACTGCAGGCACTGCACAGCTCCTGCATTCCCCAGGCTGAGGCCATGCATGGCATTGCATAGAACCCGCCAGGAGCCCATCCTGCAGGTCCCCGACACAGGGTGGGGATGGTTTTTCCTTCTCCAAGTGACCCATCCCGGAGCTCAGCCCTGTTTCCACGCTGCTGCCGGTGCCAACATGCTGCCAACCCGAACGGGAGCACCAAGGCTGCCAGAGCAGATGGATGGCAGGAGAACAGCACGGATGGAAAACCCTAGAAACCATCAGCTGATGGAGCTGCAGCCTCTCAGCCCCTTAACAGGGCCAGGAACGGGGCAGCAGAGACACCCTCCTGTGCCTCTGCCCATTAGCAGGGCCGCAGCTCAAGAGCTAAAGGCACTCCCAAGCGTCTGCACAGCAAATCTGACAGCCCTTTGCCATTATTGAGCCTTGGCCATGGATTGTTTCAGCATCTTTATATAAAATGCTACACTAAAATAACTGCCTTCTAGAAAACAATTAGAAGAGAATAAATCAAGAGGGAGGAAAAGTGATCTTTCCTAAATCAGCAGCTATGGAAAATATTTTCCCCAAGGAGAGAGAACTTGCCACAACTTCAATGACAGCAAGACCTCAGTTCTCAATTTTTTCTTTAAGACAATATTTGGCATTAAAACCCTCCAATACACCAGTCTTACTCCCTTTTCTGTTCCAAACCCCCTCCCTTGCAAGCCTTAGCTGGGTTCCCTTGACATAGTCCTGGCCATCTACCACTGTGATCCCAAACCAAAGAGATGAACTCCCAACAAAAAGCCCAACTCCTCAGTGCTTTCCCCAAAATCCTGCCTGTCCCCACCACCATGCTCCTTCCAGTATTCAATTCCCATTGGAGAGTGCAGCAGGGGGACGGGCACACACAGCCACTGTGACTGCAGGCACTGTCACAGCTGGGACATGCTCTGGCTCTGAAGCAGTTTATTGGTTTTCAGTCATGGCCATCCCTTTCCCTCCCACCAGCACACCCCGTTCTGTCCCTTTGGGCAGTGTCTGACCGCCCCAGCACTGTGAGAGCAGCATCTCCTCCAGAGAGGGAAAGCACATCCATTCCACAGCAGGGCACAGGCTTGGAAAGCTGCTGCTGTCCAGGAAGCCTCAGTGGGAGCAGGTGCCACTTTCCTAGCGCTGGAATTCCTGCAAGGGAGGCACAAGGCTTCCTGCTCTCCCTGATCCCTGGCTACCAGTGCCTGGCTCCAGCCCCTCAGGTCCCTGGAGCAGCAGGGGGGTGCACAAAGAAACAACTGGGGGAAGGTGTGGCTGTGGCAGAGCACTGCATCCCAGAGGCTTTTTGGAGGGGTCTGAAGAGCAGAACTGATCCCCACAGCCACACCATGGGGTGTCCCACTCCTCCACCCCAACAGGCAGAGGATTCCTGCTGCATCCCCTTGGACTGGCACTGGGAAATTCGGCAGGGACCCCCTGCCCAGTGAGTACAGGGGGCACACACTGCCTGGGGGGGTCACTTGGGGCAAACAACAATCAGCAGGGCCACACCTCAACACGAGCCCACCCGTGTGCCAACCCCCTCCTGGGTCCCACAGAGCTCAGGCACTCACAGGGACCTGCCAGTCCCACCTGAGCCCTGGGGCAGCCCCCGTACGCCAACCTGGGCCAGGACAAGCCCAGTGCCCACAGCCCCAGGCCTGTCACTGCTCTCCCGACACTCAGCCTCAAGCCCATCCCAGAGCTCCAACCTGTCCCCCAAGCAGCTGCCAGACGATTCTGTGGCACAGCCAACACTTAAGAAAACACTTTAAAATGAAAGAGCAGGTTTGCCTTGCTGGCCAGGAAGAGGGGAAGGAGACAGCCCCTGCCCACACTCAGTGTTCTGAGCCACAGGGAGAGGAGCCAGAGCTACAGAGGAAGCTCTGGGAGAGGAGCAAAGCCACTGGCCCTCACCTGCTGCCCTGCACCCCACTGCACCCCAGATCCAGAGAACAGAGTGAAGCCCACACTCTGTCAGGATGGGAGAGGGGCACGGGGCCCAGGGCACCAGGCTGTACATGGACACAGATCCTCCCAGACACCCTAAACACAGGCAGGGACCACACCAGAGTGGGAAGGACAAGCCCTGCTCACCCCCACTGCTGTCCAGGGCTCCTGCCTGGGCACCCACCGTGGTGCCACACGGAGAACGAGCCCACAGCCAGAAGCAGGACAGGGAGATTCCTGGAGAGAGCTCCCCTGGATGGAGCTGGTGTAACTGGGAACAGGTGGGCCAGCCAGCACTTAACAGCCCAGGGGGCTCAGAGCACAGCCTAGCTCCTCACTCCTGGTTAAAGTCACAGAATATCCTGAGCTGGAAGGGATCCACAAAGATCATCAAGTCCAACTCCTGGTCTTGCCCAGCCCCAGGGCTGTCCTCTGCCCAGCTCTGTGTGCAGGGGATGGTCATCCTGGCCTCTGCTGGGGGTGTCCAGGGGAACAGGATAAAGTAGCATCCCCCAAAACCCTCTCATTTGTGCAACTTTTACGGACAACAAAGTATTCAGCCTGCCCTCACTCCAGCCCCTCCACTTTCCAGCCGGCCAAAAATGTTCTGCTCCAGCAGAGCTGGTCCCCGGGGCTCAGATGACTCCCCAGAAGAGACCCTCCCTTCACACAGGTGCCTGAACATCCCTTCCCTCGCTTCCTCGCTGCCCTTCAGTGACGAACGATCCCAGGCTGCCCAGTCCTTTGGGATCCTCGGTGGGGTTCTCCTGTCGCACGCTGGCAGTGTCCCCAGCGGTGCTGGCTCCTACCTGCAGCACGGAGAGGCTGGTCTGTCCCGAGAGGCTGAGCTTCTCCTGCTCCGAGGGGTAGGCGTTGAAGCGGTGCTCGTACAGCCAGTCCCGCAGGATCTTCACCGACTCCTTGGGGAGGTTGCCCCTTCTCTTTCTCTTGCACTGCGAGGGGTCAGGGGATATGGCGCCGTCCTCGTCCCCCGGGTCACTGTCCGACATGGTGGAGCTGCCCGCGGGACCCCCCTGGCTGAAGCCTGGAGAAGGGGAACCAAAGGGAGCTTCAGGCGGTGTCCGGTCGGGGGAGGGGAAGGGGCCTCCTACCGACCTCCCCCCGCCTCCACCGGGGGTCTCACCCCCTCGGGCCCGCCTGGGGGGAATCCCGAGGCAGAGATCCCGGGGGGGTGGAACAAACGACCGGGACAGGGGCACCGAACACAGCCCCGGGGTGCGGAGGAGCTGAGCGCACGGCACGGGGCTCGGGGGCACTCGGGGCTCGGGGGGCACCGCAGCGGGGGGGAAAATAAAAAAATCAAGCACGGGGTGGGGTGG